CTCGGTCCCTGCTCCTACCAACCTAGCAGTTCTAAAGCATGTAAAAGTGCAAGTAGATAAGTAGGTACCGCTCCGGCGGGAAGGTAAACGGTGTTTCCGTGCACTGCTCTGGTTCGCCAGAAGCAGCTTAGTCATGCTGGCCACATGACCCAGAAGCTGTATGCCGGCTCCCTCGGCCAGTAAAGCGAGATGAGCGCCGCAACCCCAGAGTCGTCCGCGACTGGACCTATCAGTCAGGGGTCCCTTTACCTTTACTTTAAGTAGGACTAAGTTGAACAGTACATCCCTTCATAAGAACGGAGGTATGCTGAGCTATAAGAGAACTGCACCTTTAGTAAAACTTTGAGCATTGGAAGAATTCATCCTTACTTAAGTGTGCAGGAGAGATTTAAGCAGACAGTTAATTTTCTATGAAGGGAATTAGGTTTCTTGGCTGTGTGTAGATGGGGCGGGGTGGTACAAACATAGCCAAAGAGGTATGTGTTGATAGGATTAGGCACTCATGAGGTGGGCAGGCCCAGGTTCAGGCAATGTGCATCCTTGATTTCTAAAGGAAATGAGGGTATTTTTAGCTGTTCTCTGCTGACAGATCCAGTTCCTGGGGACAGGAAAGAGGTTGAATATAACACCATCCCTCAGGCTGCAGGGGCCTGGGAGATGTAGCCCAACTACTACAGCTGAGCTAGCATTAAGCATGAAGAAACATTAGAAAGGATTGAGTGAAGGAGGAGGGTGAGCTTGAAAGGCATATCTTACAAGTCGGTCAGTTAAAAGAAGAGACTGCCCTTTCTTAGGCCCAGTTCCAGAAAGCAGACTCCTCTTTAGTAAAATATTCATCTGACTTACTTTCCTCTCAGCAAAGAGATTAGGTTAAAATAGCCTGCCCTACCCCATCGACCCTCTCTCACACATACACAGACCAGAGCTCTAATATGGCCCTGTCTCTGTAGAGACCTGAGCAAGTTTTTCCTCACTTAAGAAAGGTTTTTTTGCTCTTCAATTCTCTCAGGAGCGTCAGAGTCACACAGCACAAAAGAAAGGGGAATGCAATTATCATCGCACCTGCTCTATGATATTAACGACTTCTCTTACAAATTCCAGCCTGCCATTTATTAACTGGGCGTACACTTCCTTCAGGTAGTAAAACTGCAATGGCCTCTAGGTTTTTCAAACAGCACACTACACATTTATTTTATTAATTTTTAATTCCATGAATTACACTCACAATATTGTTTGCATTATTCTGCACAGCTCATGATAAGGAGAGGTTTACAGTGTTGTAGTCACTGCCTTCCAATAGTTTCACGTGCACGGAAGTCCTGTGGGTATTCATAAATATGGGAGAGGCAGAAGAATCACAGGGATTGAGTTCATAGGAGAGTGTGGAATTTAATTACAGTCTTTTATGGACAAAAATAGTGACCTTGACCAAGTGAATATGGTATCCTCCCTAACCTGCTTGGCATATATTATGGCTGTGTGTCCTACTTTATTTGAAGAGCTGTCTGATCCAAGCCTGATTTAAAGATAAATAACCATAAGAAGAGAAAGCAGGGTAGAGGTGGGGAAGAAATTACATTCACATTTTAAAGTGCACCTACTTAATTCACCCTTCCCAAACCACTGTGCAAACTAACATGCATCTGTCCTTCAAA